CACGTGTACTCCACACTATAGTTTCCCTGCCCATAGGATCCTGAGTGCCCTTCCCCATCGCTTCTTCTCTGGCCAACAATTTGGAATAGCAAATGAGCTGCTCCCTTTGCCAGGGCCAAGATGTGTTTCAGAAGCATCCTTTCTGCTTGTCAGCTTTTGGTCTGTCGTTCCCAGCCAAGAGCACCATCTGTGAGCACTGCCTGGTGCTGCGACGACTTGGCCCAGAGCTCCATGTGGACCTGGGAAATGCACCAGTTCCATACTGCTACGCTCCCTGCTCCCTGAGCTGAGGTTTCGGAGAGGTGAGTGGTCTCGCTCCTCCTCCCACCTTCAAGCTATATTGTTCGAAGGCGTCCTCCTCCTCCTGGTGCTGGCAAGCATGGATTTTTGCCACATCCTGTAGACTATGAGGTTCCCAAGTAGGAGAAAATGGTGCCCATTATACCATGGCCTGGCCAGAAGCTCAAGTGGCCCAGCCCAGTGGACATGTCTTAGTTAAGGTCTCATGTGGTGTTTTTCTTTGTTTATTTTTATTTTTGTTGTTACTGTTTTGACACAGGGTCTTACTCTGTCAACCAGGCTGGAGTGCAGTGGTGCCATCTTGGCTCACTGTGACCTCTGCCTCCCAGGCTCAAGCTATTCTCCTGCCTCCACTTCCCACGTAGCTGGGACTACAGGTGCCTGTATTTGGGACAGAATGCACCAAACTCAGCTAATTTTTGTATTTTAGTGGAGAAGGGATTTCACCGTATTGCCCAAGCTGCCCTCGAACTCCTGGCCTTAAAAGATTCGCCCTCCTTGGCCTGCCAAAGTGCTGGGATTACAGGCGCGAGCCACCACACCTGGCTCTTATGACGTCTTTGCAAAAATAGTTCCACATCTTTCAGCTTCTAAGCTACTATGAACAGTTAGACCAGGGGTGGCAGGTAGTGTACGATGCCCACTGCTAATAGACCAACATTCCAGAGGGAGCACCTAGGAACAAGAACCACAGTGGTCGGGCTGTTTGCCAGTCCAGTGATCTCAGTCTTCTTTTTTTCAGTAAGTACCCCGAAGAGCCTTTTAAGATGTGCATTTCTGTCGTTGTCCTTCCCACTTGAAATTTTGCACAGATGCACTCGATATTATTGTAGCTCTGCAAGAGCCACGGGTAATTTCTAACAATGGCCAACGTTATTTTGTTCTCTAATGTGGGAAGCAGGAAAGTGCCTTTTTAAAGTTTCCTTTCTTTTTAAAGAGTAAGTGCGCTAATAACTTTGTTAAGCCCCATCCTATGTAGCTGTGAGACACGCCAAGCTTACAGGCAGATGGTACATTCTATGTCCTTGTACTTTAACCAGGCTATCTGTGCTGGACGTGCTCACAGGCATGTCCCAGCTCTCCACTGCTTTCACCTGTTTAGAAAAGTTTTAAGTTATTAGCCAATTGGGTTTTAGTTTAGATTGTGAGGTCTGGCTCCAACGAATGGAGATCAGACACAGCAGTAAGGACAACCCCAAATGCATAAGGGATGAATTTGTATGTGTTTTCCTTTGTTTGTTGTGTTCTCATGGCAAGATGCTAGTGTGGGTGCCCTTCCTGCAGTCCAGGAAGCAAAAATTGTGTTGCCGGAAGATCCTTTGTCTCCGTGCTTACTTTTCTTCGCAGCACCGAGCACCTATTTCCAACACTAAGAATCCATTTTCACCCCATTGTGGGTGACACTGTCTCTCTTGAGAATGTAGTTTTGTCTGAGACTATTTAGCCATCCAGCCCCACCTGTGACCAGGGGAGGTGATCTGGGTGAGCTGAGGGTAGCAAGCATGTCTGTCTGAGACTTGGAGCCCCATGGAGTTGGCTTTCAGAGGTGTCAGATTCTAGGCGGACTGGGCCATTCTCCCTTCCCTCTAGCTTTCCACTTCCACTTTCACAAGTACCGGCGGAACGTCTGTCTCTAGGCAAATATCTTGTTCTATATTCAAGATACTATTGTTTTGTTTCGTTTCTTTAAAAATGAAGTTATTAAGGTCAGGTGCAGTGGTTCTCACCTGTAATCCCAGCACTTTAGGAGGCTGAGGAAGGAGGATCACTTGAATCCGGGAGTTCGAGACCAGCCTGGGCGACATAGCAAGACCCCATCTCTATTTTTTAAAGGAACCAGCACTTTGCAGGGTCTCGACTGGTACTTGCAGTCTGTACTTGGGACAAGTATACCAGGAATGCATTATAGAGCCTGTCTCTCTGTATTTCTGGCAGCATGGACAGCAGCGTGCTTTTTGGGAGTCTTTGTTAACTTTGAAGGCAAGATGGTAACTCATTTGTCGCTTGAATTCACTTTCTTAACGATTACCAGAGAGAGTGAAATTTTAGATTTATCTTGTTGAATGATGAGATAAATCGATTTCGTCTCCAGAAGCCACTCACCGCCCCCCATCATTTGGTGGTTAAATCCTCCATTTCCCATTGACTTGCCTCACCTCCCTAATCCTTCAGGAAGTTTTCCCTCTGCTGGGATCTGTTCCTGGACACGCTGCTCTGAATTACTGGCATCTCGTTGCTAACATCTGCTCGGTGTTGTGAAATCGGTGTGAATGAATATTCTTTGAAGGTGAATGCACTCTGCGAGTAGATTGATTGATGTGTGGGCATTTGGGCAAACTCGTGTGCGCAGACACCTGGCTGTCTGCACTGGCTGGAGCCAAGATAGGGGTGCGATGAACTCATCATGGAGTTGCCCTTTCGAACAGCTCTCTGGGCGCAGAATGCCACACTGATGACCCACAGAGGACCGTGAGGCTTGAAGGCTCACGGTTGTCTGTTGGGTTGGCTCAAGTCCACCTTCTGGCTACTGTCAGCTCTCGCATGAAAGATCCAGCAGATGCTGCACTGAACAGAGAAGGAGTGAGCAGGAGACATCATTCATTCACTGTGAGAGTACATACTGAATGCCTGCTTTGGTGTTCAACATGCACAGATGTTTCAGACCAAGTCCTTGACCTTGCAGAACTCACAGTCTTTCGCTTGTGAGATAGGCATGCAAATCAATGACTGGAATATGAGGGTTTATTTTATTTTATTTTTTTGAGACAGAGTCTTGCTCTTGTTGCCCAGGCTGGAGTGCAGTGGTGTGATCTCGGCTCACCGCAACCTCCGCCTCCCGGTTCAAGTGATTCTCCTGCCTCAGCCTCTCCAGTAGCTGGGATTATAGGCACGCGCCACCACGCCTGGCTAATTTTGTATTTTTAATAGAGACAGAATTTCACTATGTTGGCCAGACTGGTCTTGAACTCCTGACCTCAGGTGATTCACCCACCTTGGCCTCCCAAAGTGCTGGGATTACAGGCATGAGCCACCGCACCCAGCCAGGATACATGGTTTCAAATTCCACAATAGGTACACATGAAGTTAGTAGGAGAGCTAGAAAAAAGTTCCAGTTCTGCCTGATGAGATCAGGAACAAAACAAAAAGAGAACATCAGCTCTGTCTTAGAGAAAGAGACACTCCCCAGATAGACAAGGGACGGAAGGCATCCCGGACAGAGGGACCGGCACACACCTGCATGCAGAGCTGTGAGGGAGCGTGCATTCTATGCCAAGTCTGGGGATGAATACATACAAAAGAAATAGGCATATAAAAAATGATGGGTTTGTGTCCTTTGTAGGGATATGGATGAACCTGGAAACCATCATTCTCAGCAAACTGACACAAGAACAGAAAATCAAACACCGCATGTTCTCACTCATAGGCGGGTGTTGAACAATGAGAACACATGGAAACAGGGAGGGGAGCATCACACACTAGGGTCTGTTGGGGGGAACTAGGGGAGGGACAGCAGGGGGTGAGAAGTTGGGGAGGGATAGCATGGGGAGAAATGCCAGATATAGGTGATGGGGAGGAAGGCAGCAAACCACACTGCCATGTATGTACCTATGCAACTATCCTGCATGTTCTTCACATGTACCCCAGAACCTAAAATGCAGTAAAATATATATTTTTTAAAAAGTATTCATTCAGTAAAAAAAAAAAAAAATAGCTAGTGAGGCTTGAAGGTGTGCTGAGGGGGTATCCCTATATTCAGTTAAAGGTACTGTTCAGGCCGGGTGCAGTAGCTCACACCTGTAATCCCAGCACTTTGGGAGGCCGAGATGGGCGGATCACTTGAGGTCAGGAGTTTGAGGCTAGCCTGGGCAACATGGTGAAACCCCGTGTCTACTGAAAATACAAAAATTAGGCGGCATGGTGGTGGGTGCCTGTAATCCCAGCTACTCAGGAGGCTGAGGCAGGAGAATCACTTAAACCTGGGAGGCAGAGGTTGCAGTGAGCCGAGATCGCGCCACTGCACTCCAGGCTGGGCGACAGAGCAAGACTCTGTCTCAAAAAATAAAAAGAAAAGATGCTGTTCAAAGGTATAAAGCATGATCAGATTTGGGTTGGGGGAATTAAACTCAGAACGGCATAAAGAGAGTGTGATGGTAAGAGTGGAACAGCCACGCTACTCACAGCAGAATCGTAGCTAGGAACGTTCATTCTCGGAAGGATTTTCTCACCTTCGTCATTGAAAAGAGGACTAGCCCTTGGAGTGATGAGGAAGACAGAGCAGCCACAGATACCTAAGAGGTGAAATCCAGAAGGCTTGATAACTAAATGTCTGTGTGGGTGACAAGGATGGCGGAAGAGATGGGGCGAAGCTGCCCCTTCTGTCATGCCCAACTGGGCAACGTGGAGTAAAAGGAAAGCTAAGGGTGAGGTATGGCCACGTTAAGCGGGAAGTGGTGGTTGGGCATTTCGCTAGAAATCCTGTGAAATGTTTAGGATTCTGTGGTGCTGTTTGTACTAATAATTGCCAGTTTCCTGTGGGACTTTGGGTCATTGAAGAACATCGAACGGTTTTAAGTGATGTTACCAGGTCTTCAGCGCATGAAGTCAGGCCAGGAAGGAAAGCGTAGAGGTGCACACTGCAGCAGGTACCGTGCGTCAGCTTCAGCTTCCTTGAATCTCATATTTACGTCTTCTCCTCCCAGGGGATGGCCAGGTGGATTTCGATGAATTCATGACCATCCTTGGCCCCAAGCTGGTGTCTTCAGAAGGTCGCGATGGTTTTCTTGGAAACACGATAGACAGCATATTCTGGCAGGTGAGTAAGAATTCTTTTTTTTTTTCAGACTAAGTTTGACAGTAAATGTGTCTGAGACTGAGTTTTGTCTCTGAATTCTTGAGCTTCTGTTTGGCATGTGAAAATCTCTTCTGGGCTGAGTGACCTGTGTTCGTGGACACAGAATCAGAACTATGAGTTATTTAGGGTTTGGAGGAGGGAAATATCTTCCCACGTTTTTCTCATAGCACTTTGTTTCTGCATTTGGGAAAAATGAAATTATTCCACTGCTCATTCAGAAAAGTCTTTTTCCTGGGGACACTTCAAGGGGGCGCACTGGTATTATCTGAGCCCATATTGTCTTTGCCCTCAGTTCTGGGGTGTCTTTGCTGAGAGAATGGTGTGGTTGCCGGGACCTCTGGGGTCCCGTCAATATCCTTGCACGTCATAGGAGAGAGTGACTTCCTCTAAGAATGTATATCCACTGCCTCTCAATTAGCTCCTGTTTTTATCTTGTAAAATCTCTTAGGAAATTCCAAACATCTAACGTCCTAGTTATTAAAGTATAATGAAATCATTTTTCTATTAGTTCTCTACTCTTAAAATGTGACAATTATTTTCTGATTATAAAATTTAGGGAGTGGGTTATCAGCCATTGTTTTTAAAAATTTGAATCAAATAAGTTGTCTGTCAAATTAAATTAAGTTAAATTACTGATTAGACACGTAAAACGTCATTCAAACACAGCATGGTTTTTAAAAAATGTCTTGATACTGTTTTTCCCCTTCAGTGAGAGTGTTCTCTAACCTAGATCGGGGCTGCGTTTGGCATGTCTTTCTAGTCTTATTCAGGTACCCATCTTGCATAGAACCAACGAGTATTTGGTAAGAACTTACGTATTCTATAATCTATCAGTCTTTGTGGGTTTTACCAAAGGCATTTAAGACTCAGACCTAGCTATTTGAGAATTTGGCTGACGAAGCTGAATTTGGTGGCTCATGCCTGTAATTTTAGCACTTAGGGAGACCGAGGCAGGAGGATCGCTTGAGGCCAGGAGTTCAAGACTGGCCTGGGCAACATAGCAAGATCCCGCCTCTGCAAACAATTTTAAACATTAGCCGAACATGATGGTGCCTGCCTGTAGTCCCAGCCACTCTTGAGGCTGAGGCAGGAGGAGCGCTTGAGCCTGGGAGTTCAAAGCTGCAGTGAGCTGTGATCACACCACCACACTGCAGCCTGCCTTAGTCTCCTGAAGTGTTGAGTTTACAGGCATGAACCACGGCGCCTGACCCCGAATGCTTTCCACTCTTTGTCTCCATCCTCACGGCTTCCTGTAGCCTAGGAGAATGTTCCAAAGTGTTGCAGGCTCTAAGCATTCTTCCTGGCCCTCATCCGGACGGGAAGGAGCTATGGCTGCTTCGTTTCCAGCTCTTAAGCAGAGGCCTCCTGTCTTCCAGCTTCATAACGGTAGAGCGTCTACACCGCAGGGAAATATTTCTCTTAATATGCGGACTGCCTCTAGCTTAATTCAGACATGCTGTCACTCTCACAAAGTCTCCGTGTTTTTTGTCTTAAGATTTTCTTCCACACCCAGGGTGAAAAGAGAGGTTGGAGAAAGGAGAGTAAAGGGGGAAAATTCCATCTTGAAATATTTAAACCAATGCTGGAAGGCACAGACTTAGTGGCTGTGGTTTTCCCCTCCTGCTGCTGCTCACCCAGCTCAGGATTTTACAACTAGCGAGCAAGAGCAAAAGCATCCATCATTTCTCAGTGATCAGCCTCCCCGTTTCCCCCTGCGACTGCCTGCCCCTTCAGAGACAGCGTGAAAAAATGGTACTTAAAATTTCCACAGCTTCGGCTTGTTTCTGGAGAAGAGTTCAGGTTCCCAGTGCTTGAGTAGTTTTTCAGGTGTAGAAGAAAGCTGAGAGAGTGTGTGTGTGTGTGTTTGTGCACGTGTGTCCTTCCTCGTAGTGATTGAAGATAATGGACGAAAAAGAAGCAGAAAGGTTGCTTTCCCAACAGCCTGTCTCTAAAGACCCTGCCTCTAAAAGCAAACTTAAAAATTAGCTGGGCTTGGTGGCGTGCAGCTGTAGTCCCAGCTACTCTGGAGCTGAGGCAGGAGGATCGCTTGAGGCCAGAGGTTTGAGGCTGCAGTGAGCTGTGCTTGTGCCACTGCACTCCAGCTTGGGTGACAGAGTAAGACCCTGTTTCGAGACAAAAAAGTAAGAAAGGTAGCTTTTCATCTCCAAATATCCAGGCAGAAGATACTGATCATAGGAGGTACTGATGTTCCTGAAAGACCATCCTCCTTTAGAGACTCTAGCAAGACTTCCCATCAGTGACAAAGTCAGTTTTCCATAGAAACAGACATGAGACTACCTCTGGAAAGGTATATATCCACGACCTATGGCTGCACAACGCGTTACACCAAAATCTAGGGACAGAAAACCACAGTAAATACTTTCTATCTCATGTAACTTCTGTGGGTTGGGAATTTGAAGGCGGGCTAAGCCGGGTGGTTCGAGCTCAGGGTCTCTAATGCAGTTGCAGCCAAGAGGCCGGCTGGAGCTGTGACCAGCCTTGGGCTTGGGGGGGCTGGAAGATGTGCTTCCTGGTGGCTCAGTCACCTGGCTGGCAAGGTGATGCTGGTGGTTGCCGGGAGCCCTCAGGTCCCTACTGCACAGACCTTGCCACGGTGCTTCTTGAGTGTCCTCCTGACATGGCAGCCAGCTTCCCTCAAAGCCAGTGATCCAGGACAGTGCTAGGCAAGAGCTATGATGTCTTTTATGCCTTAGCTATGGAAGTTGGACACTGTCATTTCTACAGTAGCTTCTTGGTTACACAGGTCATCCCTATTCAGTGTGGGAGAGAACAACCTCCCGGTGAATGCCAGGAGGCAGGAGCCACTGTGGGTCACTTTGGAGGCTAGCTACCACAGAAGGGTAAAGACTCTGTCATTGGACTTCAACTTCTGATCTGACATTGCTGCCCCAGCCTTCTGTTTTCCCCAGGCTTACGTTTCTTCCTACCTTAGAGGAGACCCATGACCAAGGTTATTCTCTGTACCACTGAGGAGCAATCCTCCCAAGCACTAGGTGCCTCTTCCTAATAAAATCCTTTTTTCCAGGCCACACAGGGTGACTTATGCCTGTAATCCCAGCACTTTGGGGGGCCAAGGTGGGCAGATAACTTGAAGGCAGTAGTTTGAAACCAGCCTAACTAACATAGTGAAATCTTGCTCTACTGAAAAGAAAAATTAGGTGGATGTCATGGCACATGCCTGTAATCCCAGCTACTCAGGAGGCTGAGGAATGAGAATCATCTGAACCTGGGAGGTGGATGTTGCAGTGAGCCAAGACCGAGCCACTGCACTCCACCTTGGATGACAGAGCAAAACCCTGGCTCAATAAATAAATAAAAATATTTTTTTCCAGTGCTCTCCTTACTGGCGTTCTAGCCTATACTGCCAACAGTAGAATAAAATCAAATGGGATTCTGCAAAAGCAACTATTTATTGGTTGGCCCTGGTCCCAAAAGTTATAAGCCCCTGGCTCTTTACAGGAAATTGGCTGTGAGTGAAGGGGGAATACACTTGGCTACAAATGCACCTTCCTTCCCAGGGAGGATGGTCTGAGAGTCGTGCCCCAGAGTCTCCAGTCCCTGCAGGGTATGCCGAGCCCTCTGGGTGTGAGACTCTTGGCAGCTGGTTCAGAACTGCTTTTCTGCACATAACTTATGAAGCTGTTATGGTGTTCTCTGTCTTCATTCATCAAGCTTCTGTGTGTCTGCCGTTACTGCAGCGATATATTTGCAGAGGAAATGTGAAATTGGGTTTGGAGTCAGCCTTAGGATATGGTATGCGGAGAGAGGAGGGAAAGAAGGGACTGAGCGGGGCTGAGACGCAGGACTCAGGGAGCCATTCTGCCAGCTGGTCTTTAGAAGAGCTAGTTTTATCCCACAGCTGTGTGCAGTGTTCAGGACACTGTCAATTACCCTCGCCTAAAAGTGCGTAGGGCACTCAGCCTTCCCGCATGCTGCAGGTTAACTGCCGAGGAGTCAAGCGCGGTCCTCAGGGTCCCTGCTTCTCCAACATTTATTTGTCACACGTCGTGTGCCTGCTTGTATCCAGGCATAAGAGGCTTACGATACAGTAGCTGTCCTCAAGTGGCAGAGGCGAGAGCCTTGCTATTTTGTCACGGTGTTTTCACGAAGCCACCCCAGCAGCCTTTTTCATTTTCTCCTCCTTGACCTCCAGCCCCGTGCCACGGTGTGCTGCCATGACTTTGCAGACAGCAAACTACAGCAAGCAGACGGGGAAGGATGGCAGGAGGTTAAACGGGTCTGCCGGTCCCAGGGGCCGGCCAACGCTCCCATTAAACTCTTTTCCCTCTGAAGAAACAGAGAAATGTGTCCCGCGCTTGGTGAGGAGAGCTGAGCTGCTTGTGTGTCTTATTTTTGCCACCGTGAGGTTCAAGAACAGCCCGGCCAGAGTGCTGCTGGAAACATCTAACGCGTGCTGTAGAACTGGGACCCTTCACCACATTTTAACCTTACTCACAGTCGAACCTCGTTCAGGAAGACTTCACTAGTTTAGAGCTTCTGCTTTCAGAAAAGACACATTCATAGCTTGTGAGCAGACAGATCTGCTCACTGGATGGTGCAGGCCGTGCTGGAACGAGTCGGGGCTAGAGGTCGGGAGACAAGAAGCCTGTGATAGCTCGCTACTCCTGAGCACACGTGAAGTCCAGGGAGCCATTCTGCCCGCTAGTCTCTGGAATAGCTAGTTCATCCCACCGCCGTGTGCAGACACGTGGAAGGCATTGTCAATTACCCTAGCCTAAAAGTGCATGGGGCACTCACCCCCAGGTCTGGTAGGGGGATCAAAGTCTGTTTGCCACGCTGCCTTGCCTTGCCCCTCCCTGGTTATCAGTGGCAGGTCTGCTGCCCTCCAGTCCTCACTCGTCTGGTGGGAGAATATACAGCAGGTGCAATGGAGCACCTGCATCTGCTCCGCAGAAACCTTCTGTCTTACCTTCTGTCTC